AGTCTTTATTATTGTGAAAAGGATGTTTGGCATGTTGTACTTACAATGGGGTAGGGATCTTTGATCATCTTTAAAGTTTCATGATAACAAACATATATTTAGCAAGCATTACCTTCAAATGATTACACAAAGAAATTTCTAGATATTCTAAAAATCTACATATAGTAAACATCTGTTGACCTGAACGTGGATGTTCAAAATTTATATTCAGAATGATTGCATAAAACTCCATATCACTTTTAAATATCTCCTCTGCTTTTCTTCCATGTATAACATCCTACTATATTGACAGTAACACTACTGTATTACCGCTAGGCAACATACTGAAAAAACCTGAATACCTGCAGGTATTTCTGGAAATACTGTAAAGCAGCAAAGTTATGAATGCTCTTATTGTGGTTTCTGTGGTTTGAAAGAGGCTGACAGCTATAGAAGATGCTACGTTGTGATTCATACGTGTCGATTTGCAATAGCAGCTATAAAATGCATATTGTCACCATGAATTTTAATTGGGAAACAGAAGTTATTTGCCTAGATTAAGCATAGTTTAAGTTTCAAGGTCTTCATGTTTTCTGAGCTTCATTGTTCATCTAAAAGCCTTTTTCTATATTATATCTTGTAGATGTGATTCTAACGTCTTTAGGTTTACATACAATGAACCTATTTATTATCTTGATTCCAGGAAACTAGGTCACACAGCTGTTGCATATGGAAGATTTCCCAAGATTACTGGTGATTAGAGAATACAGAATTCTTCATATTACCATAAGAGAGTTTAATTTACCTGAAGAACATTTTGTTGTTAATTAAAAATTTTTATGGCTGTTTAGTTTCTGGTACTTTCTGCTAATCTAATGTTTTTACCTGGCATCTTCCCAGATTGCTCTTATTTTTAATAGACTCCTGCTTAATGCTTTAATAGGCTGAGCTTCTGTTCATCTTTATCTGGAAAGACTCAGCTAGTGTGAATTTCAATCAAAATCTTACAACTACATGTTAATGATTTGTTTCCTTATGATGAGTATCTTTTTTTTTTTTCCGTTATAGAATTCTTGTGAAATACCATCAGACATCTTGTATTTCCTCACAAAACAATTTTCTATAAGGAAAATAATAAATTGCCTGTATTTCTTTTAATATTTATTACTGTATTTAAAATTTGAAAGTTTTGTAATCCTGAGCCATAGAAATTCACAAACTTATTTTTTCATGTTTGTGTAATTCTTAGAATTATGTCTAACATAACAATCAGGCAAGTTTGCTGCTCTGCAGACTGTATAAAAAGCAGTTGTACAGAATCTTCAGAAAAAGGTTAACTTGCTTGATTTGTACATAGCTCTTTTGCTTTCAATAGCGAAGTAATTAAAATCCCACCATGATGAGAAATTTGGCTTTTATCCAGAGCTTTTCTATCTCTGGAAAGGTTTTCTATCACTGCCCAGGAGGTCTGTAGCAATATATAAAGAATATCACTTGACTTAATACTTTTATTCTTCTTGACAACTAGCCAAATGGTCTGAACTGTGTAAGCACAAGTATTGCCTTTCCTCTTTGCCGTCTATGTTATTCTTTTAGTAAATTTTGCATTCAGATCTTTCAAATCACCAGTAGTCTTTATATTTCAGTCATGTCCCTCTTGCACCAGTAATGACATAGATGCAGGGTTGGGATTTTTTTCCTTTAGCATTTTATTCTGTTTTCAATCAATACACCTCTGAATTTGATTTTCAAATTTATTTGCATTATTTATTTTCAACAATTTTATTGATATAGATTTAAATGTACATTCAGAAATGCCGGAATAATAGATCTTCAATTAGGATTTGTAACTGCTGCTGCTTTGAGTATTTTTGGGTATTTAACTCATACACAAGATTCAAACTTTCAGGATCAGCTAAACACATTTCACAGTGCAGTCAAAGATAGCACAAGGGCAACATGTTTTAGTGTATTTTAAACCTGCATATGTTCTTGAAGTGCTTTGTCACTTGAAACATTAGCCATCTGCCAGTAAGCTTCTCTTTGTAGGGAAGATAATTGCAGAGGTTGTAGTGAAGCAGCACTAGTGTCATTGTGTGACCTCAGATATCTCTGATCCTTTTTAAGCTGGTTTCAGAGTTAGTGTAGAGATTTCACTGGACTTGTGGGCTGATCTCTTCCTGGTAATAGTTTAAAGTCCTTGCAGATTCCTTTTAATCTGCCTAGGATTTTTTTTTATTTTTTATTTTATTTTTCTTAAATATGCCAGCAAACTCTTGCCGTAATTAGATTCTTGATTTTAGGGTTTTCGCTCTTTTTAGTTTCTGATGCTTGTGCAGTTATCATCTACAGGAGGGACCTCTAATGTAAGGTTCCACAGTATCTGTTTTTAAGCTCTCCCTCTTCAGCACTGCTGTGCAGGTGGTCCTGTTAAAGCCCATAAAGCAATCTGAGCCATAGGATAGCAAAATTGAGAAGGCAGAAAGCTCTTCCTGGTTCCTTGCCTGCGCCTTGCCAGACCTACTTTTCTTTCCTGGTCTGTTACTGAATGAGTTACCAACCAAACTGTTAAAGGTTCAATCTGTAGGTTGGGGTTTTTTTTCTCTTTTTTTTTTTTTTTTTTTTAATTACTCTTTTTGGGGCGTTTGTTTAATTGGATTATTTTTTCTTTGCTTTTCATTCCATGTTTCTGGTGTAAGTTTTATGAACATATGAGGGAAATGCGGCTTTTTGTCATTTGTCCAGCATTTAATATTTTGAGGATGCTTCTAACATCCTGCTGCCAACAGTGCCCAAGATTATCCTAGTTTTGTCTGAGACTCACAGGATAGTTCTGGCCTTTCTGTCTTTTACTTAGCTACAATCTAAATTTTGTTAATTCTCTGACTAGATCCCTATAATACACTCTGTGTGGGTTACTCACCTTTGCTTTACTCACCTTCCATTTCCCCCTCTTTCTGATGCAATTCACTGAGCTTTTGTGGATCCATGGAGTGTGACTCCTTGGGGAAGTCATCAGGATATTTAAAATTAGTTGCCAGTCTTCTTTTTTTTTTATGTTGTGTGCTGGAAAATTAATGTCTTCAGGCAGACTATCTCAGCCCTCCCTCACTCTTCAAGTCTTGGAGCTCAGTCAAGTTGAGAGGTTATGCCCAGTTTACTAGATCTTTCTGGCCAAAGAATTTGAACAAATGAATCAATAAAGAACAAACTATAGAATTTAAACTTAGTAAGTGTTTGGTTTTTTTTTTTTTTGTTACGCTTTAAAATGTAAATGAATCTATTTCTTATGTGCTTGTTTTCAGAAATGTCAACTCCTGACCTGCTACCCATGATTACAGTGCTAGAACTACAGTTAAACAAAATGAAACTCACTTGAATGTGAATAATGAATAATTAGAAAAGAAAGAAAAAAAAAATCAAAATGCCCCAAAAATAACACATCTATCAAAATTAACTGAAAACTCTTTCCTGATGATTTGTACCTTGCTTGAAATGTGGAATGACATTATTTAGAACAAAAACACTTACTGAATCAGTAAAAGATAATGAGATGCCATGAACTATGTGTTGAATGTGGCATTCAGTCTCACTTTTGGTATTCATCATAAGCTTTATACAATATAGGAGTCCAGTTCTAATACATCAACTACTTTTAATCCATCAGTGAGACTGCAGAGATACAAAAACGATACACATAAGGCCAAAAATATGCTTCGTTCCATCAGGGATAAGATTTCAATATTGAGTGTTGATCCAAAGTGTCACCTGTCATGGTTTTCATGCTCTAAGTCATTGGCAGGCTGCTTTTTAAGGGTCATCTCCTCCATCTTGATCCTTTCTCTTGCCATCAGACGCATTTTGTGTGGGTTTTTTGTTTTGGGGTTGGGTTTTTTTTGTGTGGATTTTTTAATTTTTTTTTTTTTCATATTAAGTATTTTTCAAATCCTAGAACAGTTTTTAATTCATTTACTTATTTTCTTTGGTGTCTGAAATGTTGCTACAATCTTCTTGGTAGCAGTGGCAATGTGGTCTGTTCTTTGCCTTTTACACTGTGATTTACAGTTTTTATTAGAGTGTTGGTAAAGCTGGCTTGCTGTGTCTTGAGTGGAGGCTGGCCTGATTTGTTTCTAATTTCTCATTCCCAGTGATTAGTATGTTATAATGTTAAAAGCTGTTCTGCAATGTAAGATACTCCAGGAAACTTTAAGCCTGAAAACTGATGGTCATTACAAATGGACCAAATAATTATAAAAAAAAAATATTAGTATTGAATGGAAAGGACAATTTTCTCTTTTATTTACAATTGTACTAGAATTTGAATATACTTCTCTTGACTTGCTTTTGGGCAGAATAACCGCACCATGTTACTACATATATATATGATGTATGTGTAGATACAAACTATAGTTGGTATACTGGCATTTGTTCAAATATTATTCTTTTTTACATTTGATTAAAAAAACTCCTCTGCAAGAATATCCTCTTCTTTAGGTCTAATTTTTACATGCTGTTGCTTCCATAAATTATTGTCTCTCCTGCTAATGAGAAGCATGTTCTTGTAAAAGATACTGTTCAAAACTATTGAAGCTCAAGTAAATTTATGTGCTGTTTTAGAGGTTGTTATTCTTAACATACACATTAATAGTAAATAAAAAAAGGTCAGTTTTGGTTATTCATGTTTTCCCAGCCTAGTCTGTTCCTAATCGTTAGAAAATCTCTTCTACTTTTCTAGCCAGGTGTACTTTGTAAAGTGGGTAAGTGCTGTCCAATTCAACATACGTTTTTGCAGTTCACTGCCTTAATGATATGATAGTATGAATCTACCTGAAGCATCTTTTATTATACCATGTTAACGGATAAAATTAGTTTAATATATATAGGAAGTGTGTAATTTTGTAATTTTCATAGCACTAAAAAAATAAGAATATGGCTATATCAATGACTTTTAACTTGCTTTGGTTATTAAAAGTGTACGCATAGCAGAATGCTTACTTATAAAAACCATTTATTTCTTTTAGGGTTTTTAGGAACCTTGTGTGAAGAAAAAATAGACCCTTGTGCGTCATCTCCCTGCCAGAACAATGGAACCTGTTATGCAGACAGACTTGCCTTCTCTTGCAGTTGTAGTCCTGGATTTACAGGACCTACATGTGCTCAGCTGATTGACTTCTGTGCTCTGAATCCTTGTGCACATGGCATTTGTCGCAGTGTTGGAACCAGCTACAGATGCCTCTGTATCCCTGGTTTGTACCAACCAGTTACCTGTTTTTTGAATCTTCTAGTATTTTTATATGTATATCCGATATACAGTTTGAAATGACTTTTTATCTTTTCAGTGTATAAAACATATTGAGCAGATATTCTGTCTGTTTAAAATAATGATAAGAATCTACATATTCCATTTTGAAAATTAAAAATTGCAGAATGAGCACTGAAAATACCCACTGAGATCCACATGGCTTAGTTGATATCTACAGCTGTATTATAAAATAGTAGTCTGCAGGATAAACCTTTTTAAGGTGAGGTATCAGTGTCATTTGTTGTTACAAAATATGGTTTCCATGTCACATAGAAGAAGTGACACTAATCATTGTGGAAGGAGTGGAAATGAGGCAGGTGAACAAAGGTAGAGAAGGAAAAAAAATTGGCTATCCCAAAGGGTTCAGTTCTGCCACCTGTGTTTACATAATTTTCTCTCCTCAGAAGTTCCAGTGATAAAGCTTAGATAAGTATAGCTAGTAGATTCAGCTAGTAACTGTTTGACAATATAGCCTAACAATGCATGGTGCCTGGGTTGCATTTTCCTTAGCTCTTGGTTTTTTTTTCTTAATCGTACCAAATTAGCAGAATATTGGGATACTTATAGCTTCCTTTATGCATTTTAGAAATGATAATTAGTAGGTGAAGTAGCAGTTAGAATGAATGATACCATGGGCTGCACATCCACTACTGCTTAAGCACTTACAGAATGAAAATCATATTTGTTTTCATTTGAATAATTTTGATTATTTTGGCACTTTTTAAAATATATATATATTTTAAACTATAAACTTGAAAACTGCAGAGGTTAAGAGGAAAATAAATTCCCAGTGCACCAGGAATAAATTAAGAGGTGGTATTGGATAGTTAGTAGCTCTGCATATACATAATGCTGTAACATGCATGTTATACAGAGTTCCTTTCAGAGGAATATCTTCTCTCTGCTGCTTTGCCTTGTCTTGTGGGAAACCAGTCACAATTCTCCACCTCTTTTCCCTTCCTTCTCAGTTAGCAGGATGTGCAGGTATTCTACCAATCTCATGTTTGTGGGTATTTATGGATTTGGGGAGTTTGTAATGATATCTACTAATGCAGCATCTTTACAAGGTGCCAGAATTTATGACTGCTATTTAGAGACATGAAAAGGACCATTAGAAGTTGTTTTTGGAGAGGTACTTTCAAATGAAGAGAAGCCAATGGAAATGTATAGTTTGGATTTGACAGATTTATAATTAAATTACCTACTTCTTTATAAAGGAGAAAATTATGAAAGTGAAATGGAGACAATACATAGTAGTGTTATCTTGTAATTCATTTGTTGTTCAGCAGAAGTGAATTTAGACCTACAGGATTATAAGAATCTCATGTAAAAGCTTAAATCATTGAGATGTATTTACTTATTTAACAACAACAACAAAAACCCCTCAATTTTATGGACAGTTTTTCAGGAAGCATCCTCAGTTCTTCTGATAGCAACCAGAGGGTAGGTAGATTTTCGTGGCAAGATAGGTCCTGATGTTTAAGTGACCTCACATATTTTCAGTCCAGAGATTTCCGTGAATGGTGTGGCCAGTTTTCATCTGAACAGAAGAATGGCATTATGTAATGCAGAAGAGTATTTCCTAACATAGTTAATTTTATATATTTCAGGAGGTGAAGGTAATAATTCTTTCAGTACAAATTTTCAGTCTTACTTTTTGAAGTGTTTAAACACTTTGCTGTTCATTTGCATAATAGAGAAATCCTTAGAGAAAACAATTGGTATTGAAATGAAGAGTAACAGACCTAATCATATTTAAATAGCACTAGCAAACCCTGTTCTACTGAGAGCACAAACTAGAATTCATCAGTTGATAATAAGTTCTACGTTTGACAAAATATCTTTTTGACTGTATGTAGTTGAAGTTGCCAAGTGCTATTTTCCTAAATTCATTTTTAGAACTGAGAATTTAATAGTTTAATGTTTTATTTTGGGTATTATTCTTCTCACACAGCTGCTAGAAGGACTAAATAGCAGAGGGAGTGAACAGGAAAAAACGTTTGAAGTATAAAAAACTTCCAGAAAGATGGGGAAAAAAAGCAGTCACTGGGAAGGGCTACAAAAGTTACTTGCTAACACCAACTATTCCTTGTTTGGACAGCAAGTATTTTGTTGACTTGTTTGTATTTGTATCAGAAACCTGCTGTTTTTCTAGCTGTTGAATGGTATGAGCAGTAAAGGCATGGCCAAGAAAAATCTCTACAGAGGGTGGAGGAACTACTGAGATGAGGAGGTGCCTCACTCTGGACAACAAGGAAAGGGATCAAAGAGTATAAATATGGTTTAATATTTAAGTGGTTTTTAGTATATGAATGAAACAACAGTTGACTGAAAAAAACCTGGAGGCTGAAGAAGCGCATTAAGACTACCAGTGCTGTGCATGTATACTCTTGCAAAGTTGTAAAACAGATTGTCACAATTTAAATGTATTGAATTGTAGAAATCAAAACACAAGAAGAGATATCTTACCTTGGGATGCGAATATAATTCAAGTCAACAGAAACCTGAATTTCATAATCAGTGCAAGAAATTTTTCTTCTGACTTTCTGTTATAAAAAGGGATCTGATTTTCTAACTGGAGTATTTGGAGCTGTTCAGAACCAGTGCCCTTTCCCATGTCACTCATGGTGGGAAAAACTAAGCGTTTCTTTTTCCAAGTAAACCAGGGAAGTTTTTATCTTCTTCAGAATATACTTTGCGTTTGGTTCAAATAAACACACAAACAAACAAACAAACAAAGCTAGTTAAATATTATCAGACAAATAAAAGTTGGGGTTTCTTTTCCGAAATTTGTCACCTAAATCTGATTATAAGTTGTTAGATAGGCTTGTTCAAATTAATTCTGTGTCTCTCAGGACTTAAAAGTAGTCTCAGACTCTCATATTATGGAAACTTTCTTTTACTGACATAATATTTGTGTTTTTAAAAGCTAGCCAGATGAGAAGTCATAGAAGTTGCATCCAAGACAATACGCAGCAGTCCTATAGTTGAACTCTTTTGTGTTGCTCTTTGTGTGAAATTTAATTGGAAAAATATATATTCTTTTTTTTTTTTTTTTTATTTCTTTCCAGACCTTTTGTAGACTGCTGTAAACTTCACTTTTAAAAATGACAATTTGTTTCAGAAGGAGTTCTCTCTACATATATCATTACTTGTTTCATATAGAGGTGAAACAAAAAGCCGAATTGTGTGAGTTTGTCATTAACCTGCAATAATTTAGAAACTTGGATAACATCTCAAAAGATTGTTAAAGAACTGCACCTAAGTGTTAGCAAGATAGAACCAGTTAGAATAATTTGTTTCCTTCTTTTATGCCTTTTAATTGTTATGAACATACCATTATTTGTTTTCAGGTTTTTTTAAGTCATAGCAGCAGGATTTGGACCAATTATCTTCAGAGATTTCCCGAGTTAAAGGGATAGTAGATGAATGGGAGTTAACTTCTGTATAGATCAGCATTTAGGATGCATCATAACACACACTGTTTTATTGTGTGTAATGTAGACAAGAGAAATTAAACTTCAGGATTCCTAGTATCTCTATCAAAAAGGAATTAGATAAAGTGGATGAGTTATGTGTTGGGATATTAAAAAGCTGGATTCTATTTATAATTTTGCCTGTAGAGACTTTGACGGTCTCTGTTATATTACTTGTAAAGTGGATGAATAAAATTTTTGTGCAGTTTAGTAGCATTATCAAAGGTTAATGGGTTAATAACAAACTTACTGAACTACAGAAAGGTATTACTATACATAAAGAGGAAAGAAATTATGTCTGCCTCTAGACTCTGCGGCTTTCTGGCTTGCAGGCTCTCGGCATTGGTGGGCCAGCTCCTGGACCACTGACTTCTTTGTACAGGAGTCTTTCGCTTTCAGACATGTCCCTAAATTCCTATTTGGTTTTGAAATATACTAATGGTGAGTTTATAAAATGACATTTTAGAATTTTCTTCTATCTTGGTTATAGGGTATATCTGAAACATACTGTTTAAAAAACCTTAGAACCTGCCACTTATTTTTGTGTTCAGCTCCAGGATGCCATAATGGTTTGGGTTTTCTTGTTTGGTTGGGGTTTTTTTTGTTTGGTTTTTGGTTTTGTTTGTTTGGGGTTTTTTAGGTGTTTCACAGAGGATAAAATTTCTTATTAGAGAGCAAAATGCTGCAGAGTTTTGTTCATATGTGTGACCTGATGCCATTCTTCCTTTATGCACTGTTTCTACCTTCAGGCATAGTGTCAGCTAGATTTTCATCTGTGTTACTTCCACCTCAAAAATTAAAAGAGGAATTTTAAACAGTTCCAATTAGCCCAAGGTCTATAAAAATCTCCTTGATTGGGCAGTTTGGTTTCTATGCTTTTTTGGCCAGTGTTGAGATTCAAAGAATGATAAATAATAGTAGTTAAACTTGCATATCTGTGCAATTTGCAGAACATGCACAACCAGGCATTTACTATTGATTTTTCTCATGTGTTGGCTTTCACTGTGGGGATCATTATAGATAACCTACCTCATCTAATAGCTTGTATAGAAGAGCTAATTTGTGTAAGTTAACTTGGAAAGCAGTCTAATACTTTTGAATATTCTTATTTCCAGCATGGTGGGGGGGGGAAGTGTGTAAGTTATTTCCAAGTTGGATACACTTATTAACTTCTACTTACATATCTACTTTTGTATTATGTGTGTGATTTTTAAATTGCACATGAAACTTTATGTCTTCAAATACATTATTCGACATCCCAATTATTAATGCTTATCACCAGGCCTTTTAGAGGAAGCAAAGAAATACCCAGTGTTTGGACATGAGATGCATAGTTTGTATCATGGGTTTTTGTGCTTACCCCATATTAAAGAATTAATCCTGATAAAAATCCATGTGCTCATTTGGTGGATTTCTCATCTCAAACCTGGCTTATGAAACCAGTGGGACTCCATTGTGTCTGTTTCTT